ACATTACCTCATATACTGTTGTATTTTTGACTACTTCAAAGAATTTGAAAATTCTTATGGAAATTTTCGGAATTTAAATTACATTACAATTACAGAGGCATGGCATCTTAGTCCTTTAGAAAGGTAATACATGGGCTTTTTTGCGTTCCAATTAAATAAAATATATATAACATATAAATTATTATCAGACATAGGACTCGTTTGAGACAATGAAATTAAAAAACCTATAACTCCAGTTATCAAATTCTTTCCAGAATTTACTCTTCTAATTGATTGCTAACATAGATCACTTAAGCACCACCTGGTGTCCGTAGAGAAAGGCCGACGCTACTCATACTTTGTGTAAATTTATAATATAAATATTGCCTTCTCAGCAGTTACAATTTAGTAGAGCAGTGAGGATTAAAGATTAGTATTTAATTGGAGTCACGTGAAATGTAATACATGTGCGTGTATAATGATATATAAAGTGTATAAAAGCGCAACAAATAACAAGCTAAATTGCATTAGTAACTTTTGCACCCCAAGTCATTAAAATATTACAGCATAGGGGAGCAGATGTCAGATTTTTAAGCTCCATTGTCAAAAAGTTTTAAAGGTAGACAACCCTAGTACTGCTATAATGTAATAAGCTAATGTACCGTGTTGTTTACAAGGTATGCACAAAGCTTATAAAGGACGTCAGTTTGGGCTAATCCCTGTACCTACATCTGATTTAATAAACGAAAACGTGAACAACATTGCACTGATAATATCCGCCTACTAAGTTTAATATTGAATTCGAGGCTTGAGACTTCGCAACACCTTGTACCAACTAAAACACAATTTTGATCGCTTCTCGGTTGAAATTACTTTAGTTCTCAACCCTATCTGCTATTGTCAAGAAAATCAGTTTAGGCAATAACCAAACCGCTGTGTAAACAGATAAAATGATAATAAACAGAATAGAGAGTAAATTAATAAATAAAAAAAGAAGTCATTAAAAATGTTGCTCTACGCATACACGTTTCATCCCAATTTTCCCCTTTGCCCAATTAAGCTGTCAAAGTATGTTTCGTGATTTCACTCATCGTACAGGTAGCAATTAGCAGAGAAAATCGATAGCACCGAAATTGCTTCATTATTTTAAACATAGACACGTGAAAATACTATTTGTTAAATCGATTAATTCGTTTGAGCGTTACTTTAATACAGACAGATTTATAGAATTATATACAGCGGCTTTAAATTAATAACATCCCTTTTTGCAAACAGTTTGTTACCATTTACATCTCTATGCAGCTTAATTTTTTAACAGTACTCTCGAATGTATTGAATAAAGTGTAATACAATAAATCATTCGTTCACTTCAATCCATTCGTTCGAAACGGGTTGTCGCACCTGTCGGCCGTTATCGGTAATATTGAAAAGTCGAACTCACTACTTCGAATTATTAAATCGCCAACAGGCTTACAGCCTGTTAATGATTAATGATTACTTTAAAAAAATCTGTATATATTATTCCATTACTAATTGAATATAATAAGTATAAAATAAAGTTTTTTCTAAATTTTTAACTTCTAGACTTATCAGAAAACTTTGCAATATAGCTGGAAAATAAAAGCTCAATTTGAAAGTTATAAAGTTATCTATGTCTTAAAGTTATTTCAATTTCTATTAATATATATGCATTAATATGTATGCATTTCCAAATTTTAAGTTTTGTATTGCTGTGTAATTATTGTATTGATATTCTAAGACACTCTGTCTTAGAATATCAATTCATTACGTCTAATCACATCGCTCAGAATCAGGAATTGACAGTGAAAGCAGCCATTTGACAGTTTCAATTATAAATTTAGATAAATAATTTATAATTGAAACTGTCAAGAGTACCTAATATAACGACTAAACTATTTCGATCACGAAGATAATACGCAATCAGCAAGATAATGTAATACTATTGCTAACATCTCTTAGTTAAGAAAATTTAAATTTAAAGAATATGTATAAACTGTTTAATATAACTGTTTCTGTAGCTGTTTAATGTAACTTTTTCTGTAACAGATATTACAGAAACAGTTACATTAAAAAGTTTATACAAATTCTTTATTCTTTATGTTACTGAGTATTATAATTAATAATATGTAATTACCAAAGGCTAAATAAAAAATATTTTAATATACCAGTTGAGATTCTTTGCAAGATCTTCTCAACTGCCTCAGTTCTGAAATACTATATAAGCAGTAGAATAAAAACAGTTTATATATGAATAACAAAATTACAGACTTATGTAAAGAGGTACTTATGTAAATATGCAACACTCAAATAAAAAAAAATTGTCTTTGACTATGTATCATATGCATATGTATCATATAATCCGGATTCAGGTACATGTATAGTAGATACAACTAAATGTAATGAATAGTTGTATAATATGAAGTTAAAAAACGTAAAATGAACTTTTCAATTAATTATTCATTTATATTTAGAACCTTAAATTAAAGTAATCTACGTACTTCGAAATACACAATTTAATTTAAAGACCAATAAACTCAACGCCCCGATCTCAATAATACCTGCACAAATGGACTAACAAAGTCGAGAGACCCTTATTGTTCAACTTTTACGAATGGCAATCGAGGCCCAATTTTTATAATAATGCCGTCGAATGATTGTTTCAATTCTATAAAAATAGCTGAAATTGAAACGTATAAAGAGAGTTTCCTAATTCTTTTCTATTGTATTAGTATATACAATAGAAAAGAATCTTCAAAAGTCTATGCTCTCATTACTTTTGAAGATTATATCGACCTAACCTTAGGAGAAGGTAATTAACAATAAGTACTAATTGCCTCATACTTAGCAATGTATCCTGTTAGGTCGACTCCACGTTGTCCCCACTGCTAACATTGTTAATTTCTAGTCAGTTGTGCTACCTGACTTCATCCAATTTCTTTTACAGGTACCCTCCAATATTTAGTATACACCTACACAATAAAACTAAACGTTCAATTATTTTAATCCTTTATTTGCGTAAAAGTACTAGTTTATTACTGTTTTATTATTATTTAATTTGTATTTACCATATAACTATACAATACTATGTTAGCTCTGATATAACTAAGTAAAGTAACATGAAAAACGGATTTGACGTAAGCAGCGAATGTGCCAATTAAAAATATTTTCGCAGTAAAGTTGTCTTCGCATGAACATTACAAACTTAATAATTGGTACTGGGACCTAGTCTACGCTTGTTTTGAAGCGTAACCACAGTTTTTAAATAAACAACACTTTCAGGAATACGAATAAAAATAAATTAATACTTTTAATAAGTTTGTACATGCAACTGCTTTCAACTGAAAATCAGCTTTTAGCTAGCTACCTATTAAAGCCTACACGAAGCAGAGCGATGTCAATTACGTGTATATTTATGTATTACCACAGATAACATAATATTACATAGATTTATATATTTCGGATATATTGGGTTATTATTTTATATCGGCTTTATTTTATAAATTCTTGGTGATATTCTCCAAATAAATATTCAACAAAGTATTGTATCTTTCTTTTAAGTAGTAATTATGGGTTTTAAGAAATAGGGGCAAAATATCGTTAACTACGTAACGTAGATTCCAATTTATGGTTCCTAATCAAATCACTGTAAACTTAATAAACTTACCTAAGCGATTCGTTTAGACTATTATCGACTTAGTCACTTATATTATTGGTATTAACTTGTTGTAAATAAATAATACATTTTACACCAATTTTAATAAACCGAATTAAGATGAATTTGCAATGAACATTTCCTACATTCATTAAACATTTTGGATACGATCACGAAATATATATTTGCCAAAACTTTGTACAAATGAAATTGAATTTATTTTGCTATAACAAAGGATATTCACATAGTTCCTAATTATAAAATATCAGATCTCACTATATTATTCCTAATGAGGTATCTGATATTTAATATTAATTACTCTAAATAAATTTAAATAGATATGTGCAATATATTATTTTATTACAATTAAAATTGTTTGATTTTTACGTTGAAATATAAAGTTGATAGCTAGATTTGAATTAGACATTATTAAATAGGAATATATGTGTATCAAGTCATTATTAAATTATTACTTCAAAAATTTATTCAATAAGAAGATAAGTTATTTGAGGAATTTTTAAATTTACTATAATGGTCCTTGGCAAAAATGATATTCACAATCTGGTATCTCTAAATAATATAAATGTTCTCGTATAACTTGTTCCTCCGTTTATTTCTTCTAAACCAAGGAACGGAATTTAATACAGTTTTCACTGTCACTTAGAGAATTTCTTCCGGACGGTTTGCATGCATAATACATGCACATCGTTATATGACCTCGTACTCTGAATGCCAGTGCGAATACGCCGTATCTCTGTTTGCAAAAGCGAGACATTTTTACTCTGTCCAGGGACATTCGGGCAGACAAATGATTCTGAACTACAAATTGAAAGCAAGATTGTTTTCTTTTAATCTTACTATCAGTTAAGGTGTTATAATTTTGTAAGCCTTTATTTTCTTTATCATATCTGGCTTGAAAATAAAAGTTACACAGACATAATAATTTGTAGTATAAGGGGATTTTAATTAATGGGGGCTAATGTCCCCAAGTGACACGATCTGACATGCTAATGGTATGTGAGACCATGTCATTCCGACCTCACCTCTCGTCAAGGATACTTTTTTAATGACTTTATCCTCATTAATTTATTTTCTATTGGTCCAGCCAACATATACTGTTAGCGCAGGTGTGTATACCATTTTATTATCACCTATTAATAAAGCCTTAGCCTTCGGAAAGAAATCACATGATGCTATAAGCGACGATTGCCACTAACTGTACCACAGCAGCTTATTCCAATTCCGTTAAAAACACTACTGTAAAATCATCCACAGTCCGGAAAGGTATCTCTGACATAAAAATAAATGGTGACGTTATCTCACGATAAGATATAAAACTGTTGCATACCAGTTACGGCGGAGTATGCGGTAGGGCTGTAGCATGGGGGCGCGACGCTTGCTTCTGTGGGGCTACATGGCGGCGGGCCTTCGTGCCGCTGGATGTTTTTCTTTACCATGTAGCAGCGCGGCATCGCGGCCCACGCTGTAACAAATGATTTTATCTATTATATTATATTATATTATATTATATTATATTATATTATATTATATTATATTATATTATATTATATTATATTATATTATATTATATTATATTATATTATATTATATTATATTATATTCTTATATTATAAGTGCGGAAGTTTATCTGTCTGTTTATTACCTATATCTTTGTGAAATCTGACGTAAAGATTGGTTATATCATGAGGACGTACATAAGGTATATATTATCTAAAAAATAATCTAGAGGGAGATGAAATAGGAATAAAAGTTTGTGCACACAAAGTCGTAGGTAACTAAGAGTGTTATGTATTTACACTATACACCTTTACGACTTAACAGAGTTATCGTCCCAGATGTCGTAAGTAAATTTATATTTTAACTGTAACATAAAATGAGGTATTTCTCACAGTGGGACTGCATTATGTTCATGATGATAGACGATAAATACACAATTTATTTGATGACTACACAACACACACATTAACGATCACAGTAATTACGTATACAAATACACACAACAAATGAATTAGTTAAAATGTAAACAGATATGCGTGTTCTGCAGCAAATCAAAAGGCTCAGCTAAATGTTATTAAATGTCGACGTATGAATTCTATTTATTCGTGCATATTTGTATATTTAAATAGACCTTACGTATATAGTAACATGGCGGAATTGTTTAATTACGATTGAGACAAGGTCGTGAGTTATGATATACGCTGACGCTAAAAAAATAATGTTAAGAAACACTTATCTATACTAATATTATAATTGCGAAAATGTCTTTGTCTATCTATTTGTTTTTTGACTTTTCGCGACTACACGGCTGAATATATCTTAACAATATTTAAAATATATTTTATATCGAGGCTAGGTTTAATCTAAAAAAGAGGTAGTTATTTTTACAAAATGGTACATATTCCCATTTTAATATTTATAAGCTGCTAAACTTACACTGACGTATTTCTTACTACGCTAAAATGCAGAAAATTCGCTGTCACTGCCGCTGAAGCCCACGTCAAATGTAGCGTACGAACATACTTTTAAAAGAGTTGTTCTCTTTTAAAATGTCAAATTTTAATCTAAAATAGGAGATGAAAATTTATGCCGACGAAGAGGTGACAGCTAGTTTGTTATTTATATATAAATTTCACTAATAAAGCATGCAAAGAAATTACAAATATTATATAGAAATCATTAATTAAAATATTTTTTCTAATTATTAGCTGCTTACTGTGCCCGCGACTTTGTCCGCGTGGAGTAGTGACCTTGGGTAGCATTTTTTTTAATTGGTGCTAATTATATAAAAACCAAAGAAAAATGGTTCACCATTCTAGCTTCAAAAATAACTAATTTCCATACAATTTTCACTCCCTATGACGTCACGATAACAGTATTAACACGGTAAATGGTATCAAAGCGTATGATCAATTCCATGACTATCAGATGCGCAATAGGAAATCGAATGGAAAACCATAACAGGAAAAGCAATCACCAGTTGAGTCCCAGATGAGCAGTATTGTTTTTAGTTGCGATACTATTTCATACCGGACCGTCAAACATTAATTTAGTTGCAATATTTTTTGATCAGTAAAAAAGCATTTCAGCTACATCCATGCTTAAATTAACTGCCAAAGAAAGAATTTCCTCAATTCAACTATACGAGGACGTTGCCATTTTAGTGTGTATGTTATATCATTTCTTCCCTCAAACGGTTTTTACATTTTTATATAATCTATATACAGGTAATAAAAATGTAACTTATCAATTTCTGAAAACAACTTTTATTATGGAAATAAGTCAAGATTTTTGTTCATAAAAATCTTGACTTATTTCCAAAAAACAGCAATTCATAATATTAATACTAGATTTAAAGACAAACTTCAATTGAGTTTCTCAATTGGAGCCAGTTCTTCTCAATTGGATCTATATACCGAACTGGACGATATGGAAAAAATTAACGTTCATAAGCGGCTAAAATGTCCTATATGAATAAATGATTTTTGAATTTGAATTTGTATTTGAATTTATGGGACTTTATTGTCGTAACAGGAAATAATATATTTTATCTTTACTTCTTTATTCATTTTGAAATAGTCATTCGAAACTAATAAAGAACTAAAGGTATATAAATGTACAAAGAGTTTGCAAACCCCATGTCGCTAGTCTCAAATAATTTAATCAGAATTAATAATTAGTGAACTGATACCTGTTTGGATCGCAGCTCTAATTTATTATTCCTTCTATTTGTACTCAAATCTCTGAGTCACCGGCTCCCATCGGTCGCAGTTTCAGTTAGCCGTAAACGAACTATCAAAGCTTTGGATCGACAGTCCTAAAGACCAAAGAGTTAGCACTCTCCTTGCTCAAAGGATCAGTGTAGCTTATAGAGCGAGGAAATTCTACCAGGAACTTGGCTGTAATTCCACTTGAGTTGACTTTTTATATGAAACTTAATGACCCGTTAACTTTGTATCATGAATATGTATATTTTATTGTAACTTTCAAGTCAATTTAATGTATTAATATTATTGTTTATTTAGAATTATAAAACATAAGTTTTCTAAGTATTTGGAAAAAATATATGGTTATGAAATACTAGCGAATAACAGAACTCTAAGAAATATAACAATATATTATTAATATGACGGTTTTGTAAGTTGTTTGAAGCAACGATTCTAATAATAAATTGTCACAAACTTTTGTATTTCAGCAGGAATTTGCTACTTTTTTAAGCTATTCATTCATAGGGGATTACATGGCTTTTTAACAGGTGAACTGACAGCTGTAAGCCTTTCCAATTACATAAAAAACCCTTGTGTATTGCGAGTATGAAAATATTTAAAAATCATGTAGGACATTTTAGAAGCTTAAGAACGTCATTTTTATTTCTACAGTCCGTCCATATTTATTTTTGTTCTTATTTAAAGAGTATATTGCTCTGTAAATCAATAATTCAGTTATGATGAAAAATTAAACAAATATTACCGGAGTTAATCTAACTGATGCATCATTTTCGTTTTCGCAAGAATTTTCTTTATCATCTTTACAACAATATAAATTCAATATTTATTATTATTTATTATATATATATAATAGTTCAGCAGTAAATAATCTGATTGTTATCTTAATAATTATTTTATGCATTGGTACAAATGTATGATATACATATATAATAACTGCTTGTAAATTTTATGTCGACAAGAAGAAAGTATATCTTTCTTTATTCTACAACTCAACAACAAACAAATTTATTTATCTTTAAAGATTGCTATACAAATTCTAAGCTAATTTATTCTGAATCTACACAAGATGTAGACATAATAATCAGACGAAGAAAATGAGAGAGCATATCTCCGCCCAACTAGGACATAAGATTGTAAACAAGGTCGGCTGGTTGTCACTCGTCCCAAAAGAGCAATAACCTAGTATAACTGAAATAGTGTCAACAAAAGCGTACGCAACGCCCAAATTATTTATTACGTAGGTACTCGCTGTTTCACACGGTGAAGTACCCATCACTAAGTTGTTACGGTACTACGTTAAACTCTATTAGGTATATGTATACTAGATTTAAAACTTTAAAACCATAATATAAACTGCAGATTTAATTATTATATGCAAATTTTTTTAACAGCCTAACAGACACTCTGAGCCGCTGTTATTGCGTGAATTGTTCCTTTACGGATTATTCAACGATCCGATATAACTTTATTGTATATTCATTATGCCCGCGGTTTCGCCCGCATGTAATTTATAGTCGATATGTTATTCTGTGTATAAGCTATATTGCTGCAAAGTTTTATCAAAATCCGTTCAGTAGTTTTTGCATGAAAGAGTAACAAACATCCATCCATACTCACAAACTTTCGCGTTTATAATCTTAATTCTAATATAATAACCGACAGTTCAATAATACGAACTTGGATTATGGCACTAGAAATTTACATATAAACAAAAGTTCAGTAAGCTCATATTCCAGAAATGTGCGAAAAGTCTGTACTAAGTCGAATCCCAAACCTATCCGGGTTTGGGATTCGACTTAGTACAGACTTTAGAAATATCTACATCCGATTGTAGCGCGCAAAAAACTTAACAGGCACTTGAATTCTGTTTTGATTTAACTGAAAGAGTAAACAAGGTAATGACTCACGTGTAAGTGGAAACCGTCTCATACAGACATAATAGTGCCATGACGTTACGTTACGTGCGACTAAAGTGTCATGCCTTTGAATCCTGTTTAGGTGCCATTTTAACTGCCATATGTCACCCTTAATCGGATCACAGTGCACAAAGCAAACTGCTAAACGGTAGAAACAGAGGCGACTTTACATGATGTCTACCTGAATGTATTAAGCAGTACTTATATTTACTGATATACTTTTTTTATAATATTCAAAAATTCAAATTCAAAATTCAAAATATCTTTATTCATGTAGGTCTATTACAGACTCTTATGATATGTCAAATCTACCGTCAGTTCGGAATGATATCGAGATGAGAAGAACTGACAAGAAACTCAGCTCGTATTTTTTCAAATAATAGTGGAACATGTTTATAATAAATATAGTTTTTAAAATTCAAATTTGGGAGAATAGAGTGACCACTTTGTCTTATTTCAGTGAATACTTTGTCTTATTACTATTATTACACATGTAATAATAGTAATAAAAATAACCTTAGACGATGTGAATCGTCCGAGTTTATTATTATTATAATAATATTATAATATATATATATATTTTAAATACATAAATAATATACATAGAAAACACTCATTACAGTAAAAATAATCATATAGTCTGGAATACAAGTATTTGCATCATATGAATTTTATAAAACTTTATAATGGAATTAAACCCCCGATAAACGGAATTAAGTCGTTGTACAAGCGAACCCGTAATGTGATACACATTGAACTTAAATTTATATTGTTTATCTTCTGTAAATAAGCATTTAATTGAATGTACAT